GTTGTGACTGTGAGATACCAGACGGCCCTTTGTTGGACTCTTCTCATTTTTCCGTATCCTGTGCCATGGACTGTCTGAATTTAGACTTAGATAATAGCATCTTTTCTGTCATTTATGAGTATTCCTTTTGAGTCACGACCTTGAATCATTTGATTTCTGACTTTGAATAGCTCATGAGATGTGCTTTTAGGCATTTTATCTCAAGAAAGAAAAAAAACCAGTATCTGGAAGGAGGCAGTCAGATGGGCTGCTTTCTGGAAGAAATTGCAAATAGTGACTCATAGGGTAGGGCATGGATAAGGAAGTCACTTCTATGAATTCTGAATAGTGTTTTTAAAAAGTGAAGTAAAATAATTGTTAGTGTGTGCACAAGCAGCCAAGGCAAGTGTTCCTTCCGTTAAATCAGTTTTACATTCATCTGCATGTGTGCTAAGATGTGTACAGAATGTTCTGTAGGTCACAGCTGGAAAGTTTAGAAGTTCCCCTAACCCCTGACCATCACAAGCAATTCACCTTGAAATTACTCAGTAGGACATTATCTGATTCCACCACAATGTATGTGTCATGGTTTTTTACAGTTCAACTGTGTTATTTTCCAACAGAGGTAATTTTTGGGAGTAGGGTACCTGCCATACTGTGATCAAAATGTGTCTGGTTCTCATCACAATCTGCTTACCAGGTAGCTGGCTCTCTGCATCTCTGGTGACAGCCTTGATTTCCCTCTTGGAAAGACATTCTAGATTAGAAAGTGTTATCTGTTCATATGACATTTCCCATGTGTGCATTGGAGGGAGCCATAAGATGTGTTCGAGGCCGGCCTGGACTACAGAGCGAGATCCAGGAAAGGTGCAAAGCTACACAGAGAAACCCTGTCTCAAAAAAAAAAGTTACTTCCTAAGATGTATCTTTAAATAATAGGGCAATGCCCATCCTTTTAGCTGCAGAGTCATCTACAGGATCAGCTGCAGGAACTAGACTTTGAAACAGCTTTTGTGTTTCTCATTTATTTCACTGTTTTGTGTGAAAGAAGGCATTCAGTTTAATATATTTCCAAATGAAAAACCATGACTTAAAAGCCCCATATCTAAACCCAGGCAGAAATGGCTGGTTAGGTGAGGAATACCAATCCTCCTTTCTGAACTCCTTCACACACAGTCAAGGGAATGGGAGTAAGTGGGGCATGAGAAAGCAATTTTGAGGTCCCCAGCAACAAGAAAATAGTTGAATAAGGTTTATTCCCACTCAGGGTAGGTCTGTAGAGAGCCCTCTATGCCCTAGGCCTCAGAAGGCTCTATAACCTGGCTCCTATTTGTGTTTCTAACTTAGCTTTCTAAAACAACTTTATAAAAACTCAAACCAAAGACCAAAATTGGTTTACATTTTGTTCATCTGGCTCCCATTTGCAACTCCCTAAGCAAGTCAGAGCACCACATGTTTGCCTTGGCCCTTTGCTCCCCATCTGTGTGTGATCTAATATTGCCCAGCCTCTGTGGCCAAGGCTCAGGCTCTCTCTCCTGCCAGAAAACCCTTAGGAGCCCTTCAGACTCACTGAAGTCATTGTACTTGTGTTGAACAACTGCTGCTACCACCCTGAGGGATAGGCTAGGCATTGGGATGGGTTCCCTTCTGGCCTATCTCTCTATATTTGTAGCTGCATAGATCTTCCTGCATACATAATTTACATATACATGCATATATAAAAAAATGGGACCACACTGCCTCTGTAGTTCAGAATTCCCTGTTCGCTGCTCAGAATTATTATATCAGTAACTTGTTGAGGGATATAATCTTAATTATTATGTTATTATAATCATTATATTATATACATTCCAGTGTATAAGTATATCATAAATTATCATTAACGGAGGTATGCTTTTGTGTGTTGAGGTTATTTCCTACTACAAATACCTCTTAGATTTGTCACCAAAATGGATTCAGAGAATTCTTCCATTCTTTACTCAGAATAGATTTCTAGAATTGAATTTGCTACTCAGTAGATGTGTTCATCCTTAAGGGATCAGATAGCTACTATGTTGCTATACTTTCCAAAGCCTCCTGCATGTATCAGGAGGGGAGAGGCAGTGCCTATTTCACCACATTGAGTGCAGTCACGAGAAGGACAGCAGAATACAGAATCTTGTTCATCAATCCAGAGTTTCAATGCAGTGATTACAGCGTTAAGCTTTATGAGAAGTAACATTTTTGGGTATGTATTGTCCAGTTTTTGTACTAAAATGGTTAGTTCTGTTCTGACTACATGATGGTGGCACGTGCCTTACATTCTTTTTATAAATAAGAAAAATCAGCACTATTCCCTCATTCCAGGCTCCAGCTAATGAGCAGCATGTTATTGTTGTAGGGACTAGGGAGCCTGCTTCTGTAAAATAGTATGATGCACACAAGTGATGCTTATTTGGGACACCAGCAGAGTGTCAATTTTAATTCAATATTTTAAACTGTTCTGAAATATTAAAACAGAGGAGCTATGTTGATTGGAATTCTCCTAAGAACGAAGATGTAAGAGAAGATTCCTTGTTACCATGGGTAACAGTGCTGGGGAACAGGAGGTCCAGACTGGGGTTTTGCATCTGGAGCCTTCTTGCTGCCTATAAGTGACACTTGAGAAATCAGGGTCCCTTCTTGGGGTACCTATTCTCATTAGTGAGACAATTTAAGGATAAACTTAAAGGGAAGCTCAAGTATACTTTTAGTAAAGTTGGAAAGAAAACCTCCCAGAGCAGGCAAGCCGTTAATCAGAACAGCCACTCAGAGGAGGAAAATAATGGAGAGAAGGAAAAACAAAACCAAACCCCATACCCTTTATGTTAAGTTGGCATGGATGTCAGCTATATGGCAGGGATGGGGCTTTAGAAAAAGAGCAAGCAAGTCCACAGTACCAGAGAAAGCATACTTAGGTTCTAGTCTACATCCAATGAAGACAGAAAAGAAAAAGCCACCTTTCTGAGTTAGAATTCAAAGGTAGATAGACCCAGCTGCAACTCATGGCTGCTTGGTTGTAGGAGCTACTCTAGAAGGCTGGAATTTGGAGAAAGAAAAGTACAACATCTCATTGAAGGAATGATTATCCCACTTATCTCTTTAGTATGGCTTAAGATGAACCTACCTATCAAAGGCATGGTCCCTTAGCCAGGTCATTGGCCTAGTCTAACTTGAATGTTTGCTTCCTACCAAGGCCAGAAATTCTGTTCTCTGGACCAAGAGTTTTTCCATAATGGACCTTAACTGTACGCTGCTATAACATGATGGGGACATCACATGGCAAAGCGGGCCAATGTGCCAGCTCAGGTATCATCTCCTTGTCCTCTTCTTCCTTCTCCTCCTCCTAACAAGAGGTATCATGGGAACTTGCCTTCCTGTTTTTCTGACTCTGATTACCAACTCCCTCAAAGATGCCATCGAATTTGACTTTGGAAATTAACTTTTCATTTCATGCCCAGTTGATGGGATCGCCTATGTCTTGTTTTCATTGTGTGTATGTGTGTGTGTGTGTGTGTGTGTGTGTGTGTGTGTGTGTGTGTGTGTATGATTTTATTGTTTTTTTAATGGCTACTTAATACTGATGAGTATATGACCTAAAATGTTTGAAATGAGAACACAAAGTTTTACCTTCAAAGAATTTTGTTTACTGTATCTGGAGAAATGAAAGGGCCTGAAAGATGTGGGATATGATCATTTCAGCCAACATTAGGTAGTGATAGTATGGGAGAATAACTTTTTAGTTTTTATTTGCTTACTTTTTAAGTTACACTAAAGAAAAGACAGTGTTAGCAACTTTAATTGTCCTCTTTGTTTGATAATTATTTAAAATTTGGAGCCAACTAAATTGGGGTGGGGTCTAGACTAACTGTGCACATATGGGGTGCTCTCTCAGAGCATGTGGAGCTGGTTCTGTTCTTGCATCTCACTCAAGACTCTAAAACACATTGCAGAATTTTTCCAGCTAGTATCTTCTTGGATATAGAGGCGAACTTTGGAGAAAGTATGTTTTTGTTTTTTTTTTTCCTCAAGGATTGGGAGTATGGTAAAGAGTAGTTCCGTGTGTGTGTGTGTGTGTGTGTGTGTGTGTGTGTGTGTGTGTGTGTGTGAAGGTGTATGTGTGTGTGTTTCAAGGTGTGTGGTGTGAGTGAAGGGTTTGCTTTTCGTTGTTTCTCACTCTCCATATCACTGGAATCCTGTAATGAGGAGCCTTGGTAACTATGCATTCTAGCCTCTGGGGCCGTGAAATGCTGGCTTACTGGCCAGCGAGCTTACTGGCCAGTGAGCTTTAGGTTGCATTTTTCTTTCTCCATTTCAGCCACACTTTTTTGGAGTATCCTCAGTACAGTAAAATTTGCCATTTTTCAGGGCACATTTTTTCTTTGTTTTGGTAAATGTGTACCAGCTTATACCTGCTCATTAGGTTTACACTTTCCCTCTTTCTGAAAGTGTCCTCTTGACAATGTGTTTTGTCCATCTAACTAGTAGTTCTCAGTCTAGAGAAGACCACAGGGCACAGTGACATTGACTCATCAATTCAGCTTTTCAGAACTACACATCTCATCCTTAATGTGATTGTGCCTTGCCCTGTGAATTGTGTAGGAAGGATTGCCCTAGAAGAGAAAACACTTCACAGGCAGATACTCCCCTTACCTGGATATCCCACTTTACTTCCTCACAGTGGGTCAGGACTTCTCCCTGACCACAGAGCACAGCCGCTACTCATCATTCTGAAATAGCCAATCATCATTCTCTAGAACTAGTCATGGCTATGTATAGATAAAAGGCAGCTGAAGCACCCAAAAAGTCAGACAAGCACAGGGAATCAGGATAGAGAAAGAGTGGTAAGCCTTCCTTAATTGGTATATGCTTCTAATACATAGGTATTATCTCAAATTAGCCCACAAAAATACTATCTGACTATAAGGTATACCCAGAGTCCATAGATTTGAGTAGAAATTAAGAGGTGCAATTTTAAAAAATAAATGGACCAGGCTGACAAGTCCTGTTTTAGGTCTTAGCCCTTTACTGCAATTGAAGAAGAAATCAAGAAATCAAATGCATGGCATTTCCTCAGCCCACCTCTCCTCCTTACCACACCCCTGCAACAGGGGAAGGTGATGAGAGGCTTCAGGTAAAGGGACTCCAGCAGCACAGGCTCTCTATTCCCAGATGGTGCCAGGGCAGGATGGTCAGAGGATGTAAAGTGACAAAATTCCAGTTTCCTTGTTTACACCTCCCCCGGTTGCTGTCTTCTTGTCCCCTACAAGAATATCTTCCATGTCTAGTAGGATGAGGTAGAAAAAAGAAAATTGCATTTATTTTAAGCTTGACGTTTAGCCAGATGGGAGCTAGCTTAAGTTTCACTGGAATATATTTGATTTTCTCCCTCTGTCACCATCCTGTGGTAAATTCCTTCTGACAGCTGATAAAATTCACATTTTTTTTTTTTTTAGTGAATCGAGGATTTAGATATAAATATGCAGAATGAGCACACAAATTGACTCGTGTTCTCAAAGTTAAAAGGGGGGATGTTGGAGTAACTTCTCATAAGAAAAATTTCAAGTTATTCGAATAAGAGGGAACAAAATAGACAGTAACACAGAATTAGATCCCAGATTTCTTCCAGTTCATGAGTCTGCATTCTGAGGGATGTTCTCCCAGAGCTGATGACTAAGTCCGAGACCCATCTTCTCATTGACTTTTAGCATGCAATCAGAGATGGGCTCCATTTCAGATGATTCCCCCAAACATTCAACTAAAAATGAAATAAGTTTAAAACCGGGTGTGCTATGAAATGTGAGGCTCCAGGGTTTAGTCCTCGTAGTGATTCATTCTTAGTGCAGATTGAGAATTCCTCTTCTAAGGGATTTCTTCGTTTCCTATTTGCAGCTGCTCTGTGGCTCTTGTTCATGGTTCTGCTGAGTCTAGAATTTTATGGTAACTGGAGGTGAAGAAGCTGGGCAGTGATGGTGTGGGGTCTGGCTTTGTCTCAGGGTGGGATTTCCCGCTTTACTGATTTGGATGTAGAAGCAGGTTCTTTTTCTTCACAACAGATCAGTCTTAAGAGCAGATCTGTTGGATGCTGGTGAGGCATTCATTGTATGTTTTCCTGTTGATCTTTGGTAGACACCGGGTGGGAAAAGGGAGGGGTCACTGGCTCAGAGTAGTCAAGGGTGAGACACTCTTGCGGTACTACATGGTGCAGGTGGCAATGGATCATGATGAGGCTTCTGTGAGGCAGTGAAGAGTCTTGCTCTCTCAGACCACCTGGGAAGTCACTGCATGGCTGCTGTAGTACATAGCCCTGAATCATAGGACAGAATAAGCATCTTAGGACAAATGATTCACCAACCATTATAAATGAAGTTATTAATATGTTTATATTCCAGGGGTAGGATTGTTATTAAATTCAAACTGCATTCTTACATTAAGTTGTATTCATCATCTTGAAGTCTTAACCCGGTTGACTATATGTTGATATCCCAGGGGCAGGAAAGATGTCTTGAAGGGTTGTACCTTCTACAGGAGATTTCAGTAGGGATCCCTCAAGATACCAGTGCTCAGTGGGAATTATCATCCTTGCTTTGTAAGCCTGCTTAAGCACTGTTAATTTTGCTACATCCAGTAATGAACCAGTATAGCAATCCTCTTTATCTGTTCCCTTAGTTTAAAATGCTGTTTATTGTATAATTCCAGACTTCAAAGGATCATAAAAGTTTTGACTTTCCAAAAGGTTAATTTTCTTATTTATGTTTCACTCGGGAATGAGTTAAAGTATATCTTCCTTTTTGGTGTAGGCCTCATAAGAAGGTGTGGATATGTTCTGGGAATTAACATTGGCAGCAAGTGTCATATGCGTTAGCCACATTCATTTTTGACAGTATCACATGGTAGTTAGAAATAATTTGCTACTAACACTATTCCAGTTTCTAAGCTTGCAGTGTCTTCCTAGAGGAGGTCCAGGAACTGTTCTTCAAGTGACCTCTCCTATTGGCTAATATTATTTCTCAAGAAGATAACAGAACTGAGTGTCACTTGGGCCACTGGAATTATGTATAATTGCCAAACCCATCTTTTGCCATGCAGGCTTAATTTAGAGCATCCCTGTGGTAGGTAAGGTCTGTGACTTTCTCATGTGGCAAACTGTAGGAGGGGCCCTCATCAATTCCACTCTAGTGCAGCTGAGAGGTGCCAAGGTACTGTGTGGCCTGTTATCTTTTCTTCCTGTCCATTCTCTTCAGTATTTTCTTTCAGTATTTTCTTTTCCGTATTTTCTTTCAGTATTTTCTCTCTGACATTTAAATGTGGATTTTTCTGGGAATCTCTGTAATAACTGAATTTGGGATTCTCATAACATCAAACAGAATTTGAACTGTTTTATTTATGACTGAGAAAAGCATGTATGGAGTTCATATCCCAACTTGTCCTTCTGAGATTTGTGAATGAATCTAGCCCATGGGGAACACACAAGAATACATTTATCAGCCACATAACCTTCAGTTCCAGGGAACTCTTTAACCTTCACAGTGCAGATAACAGGGAAATTGTCTTTAAAAGACGATATACATTTTCAAGTTGTTTCTGACATACAGTTTCTATTTCTGATTTGTTAATTTTGTGATTATATAGTTAATAGAGATAGCTGAGATAGAGAAGCAAAAATGGTTGTAGTCTTTTAACAATCTACAACTATTATTGAATTATCCCTCTGTTGACATTTTTTCTCCAAAAGCAAGACTGTACTTTTTTTCAGGTAATGAAACAGATATTTTATACAATTGAGTAATTAGGAAATTGGGCATGTAAAAGGCGATAAACAGCATTGGATAGCCATTGATAATAGATTTGCATTTCTGTCCACTTCTGGTGTGCATCTGCTGAAATACCTTATTCATCATTGTACCCGGCAGCTGATAGGCCTTCTGAAGGAGGAAGACATTCACCCTGGAGTACAGGCAAGCTGATCGTCACACTGATTACTCTCTGCCTTCTCAGTTGATGTAGCACCTTAACACTGTGTGATGGATGTTTCCTTCCAGAGCATCCCACCTCCTCATCCATGTTGAGCTGCTGCCTCAGAGACTGCCTCAGTTAGGGTTTCTATTGCTGTAACAAAACACCATGACCAAAAAGTAAGTTGGGAAGGAAAGGGTTTTACTTGGCTTACACTTCCACATTGCTGTTCATCAGTGAGGGAAGTCAGGATAGGAATTAAAACCGGTCAGGATCCCAGAGGCATGAGCTGTGACAGAGGCCATAGAGAGGAGCTGCTTACTAGCTTGCATCCCATGGTTTGCTCAATCCACCTTACAGAACCCAAGACCAACACCCAGGAATGGCACCACCCACCGTGGGCTGGGCCCTCCCCCATTGATCACTGAATGAGAAAATGCCTTGCAGCTGAATCTTATGGAGGCAGTTCCTCAACTGAGGCTGCTTCCTCTCTGATGACTCTAGCTTGTGTTACGTTAACACACAAAACCCAGCCAGTACAGAGATCCTGGTTTTTATGTGGTCTTTTCAAAATTGTGGCCAAGTTTGCTTCATGGATGCAGCTCATACAGCCAGATCTGTGTCTCTAAAATTACCCAGATAATTTGCTTCCAAGTCCTTTGGACTAATACCTATGTAATCACTCAAAGCCCTTTCGGTTATTGCAGTGTGCCTGCTCGTCTCACCCAGCAGTGCGATACCTTGTAGTGAGGTCCCAAGTATCAAAGCAAACATGATGCTCTCCAGTTGATCTATCTATCAATTAAAATTCCTCTGCTCTAAAATTGAGATGAGCTTTTGAGTTCAGCTTTGTCTGTATCACTAGCTTTTGAGGCACTGAAGCTCACTGACCTTTGCCACCACGGCATCTCTAGATAGTAAGCCTAGAAGGCCTAGCCATTGGGTACCCAGAGTTACCTCAGTGGCTATAGCCAGGGGTCTTCATTTGTTTCTGTAGTCGCTTTGTTCTGAGAGAAATTCAGTTGATTGAATTTAAGATACTGTCCTTAAGTGGTCAAATGCTGGGTTCAGAGGAACAGGGCATGCACTTTGTGTTAATGGTCATGCCACAGTGGCCTGCAGGCTGTCTATAGTTCTTTTTTGTGCACTTGTGATCTGCATGGTTGGCTATCTTTAGGGATTATAGAATATCTTCTTCCAAGATTGCCTGAATATTGTTCAAGAGTGGCTGGCAATATTGCTATGCTTGTCTTCATCCTCCCATTGTTAGGAGGAATGTTTTGACTTTTCTAATAAAGAAATATTTGGACTGGAGAACAGAGATGGAAGTGCTTCCAACAGAGGAAACCAATTAATATCCCTTGCCTGCAATGCACAGAGGTCATGAGAGCAGTTAATAATGTCTGGAAAGAATTTAGAGCAGGAAGCACAGAGGTCCAGGATGTTGGCCTGGGATACCTTCCATAAAGGACCTTGGAGAGGAAGTAGGGGAGGACCACATGAAGGCCTATTTGAGACAGAAGGCCCAGAGGCATGGACAGTAACTGCAGACTTAGGCTAGAAGAAGATTGAATTGTGTCCTGAAAGACACTAAAGACCATAGCAAGAGCACTCTCCAAAGACAGATGGAAGTAGAAGACAGAATGAAATGAGACTTCGTCCTGGATAACCAGGCTGATGGACACACCTCTTTCCAAGATGGCATCATTTCTGCCCCAAGTGGCGGCTCCATGGGCTAAAAAGAGAACCATCACTGTAAGGTTAGCCTAGACAGAGGAGTGGATTCCTGGGAAAGTTGTGGTTTTATTTTTATTCATAGTGGTATTTAAGTGTTTAAACTATCAATCTTTTGGAAAATTTGGTAGCCAGTTGCAAAATGTTTGACAGCTTTAGATTGGCTATAGTGGGAGGATTTATATCCCTTAAAATGGTCAGCACAATCTCCCTCTGTCATAGCCATCAAAAGCTAGACAATAAGCATTGACCAGAATACTGATGAGCACATCCGAAGGCAGGCAGACAGGATAGTGTATAAGAGAGAGAGATGAAGCCAATGCCCTGGCCCTGGGGATGTGGAAGACAATTGTACTGCTGTGAAGGCTGGCTTCTGAGAAGAGGAAGGATTTAACAGAAGGAAAAGAAACTGTCAGAGAAGAGGGCCAGGATCCAAAGCAATGATGATTACCAAACTAACAACCCAGGGTACCTGTTGTATGTGAAACATTATTCTTTGTGCTTCCCTTGGAGTCTCTCCTGGAGCACTAGACAAGTAGCTCATTATGGGCTCACGAATGAGCAGTCAGAGGCACAGAGTAGTTTGCCCAAAGCCCCACAGCTGTCAAAACATAGAGACGGTGTTTGAATCCCATGATCTGATATCTAGCCCTTATTCCTGCCATCTGTGCTGCATCCCAGAGAGTTTGCAGATTCTGTGGCGGTAAGTTGCCCTGGGTTCCCTGCTGAAGATTTCTGTTTCCTTTAAGAAGAATGTAGTTAACATCCCCTTAGACTAAGGGAGAGCAATAAGAGATGACAGTAGAAAGTATATGAGATAATATTGAGGCACTTAGGTCATGGGGCTAGAGACATGGGAGAAAGTGTCCGGGTAGCCCTAAGAGCCTTGGTAATAGTTAGGATTCTGAAGGAATAAATGACACTACTGGGTGGGGAAGGGATGCTCTGACAAGCTCCTCAGCTGCTCTGTTTAGGTGCAGAGAGGCAGCCTATGAGGCTCCTCTAGTTAGGTTGTGACTTATCAAAGGGAGGTTAAAGAAATTTAAGAATCAAGGGAATTGAGAAGGAAAAGAATAGTAATGGGCCTTGGAATCTGCACAGTTGTGAAGGCAGGAAGAGTTGATTGAATTCAAGCCTTTGATGAGGCTGAAGAACTATAGTTTCTAGAAGACTTGAATAAGGAGATGAGAGGAGGCCATCTTTGAAAACACTGGCATTGTAATCTATCAATTTTGGTGACAGTGCATTTTCTTATACTGTACATACAGTGTGTGTCTTAAAATTAGTGAGTGGAAACAATAATCATTGATGATGAGGTCAAAGGCTGTACAAATGGATTTTAAAATAGTCCAGGGTGATAACAAAAATTGCAGTGAAGGGGAAGCCTGTGACCATGGATATTTTCTAGGATAGTTACTATTAAATAACAAGTCATTTAACTTCTTTATATGATGCTGACTTTGCAGACAACCTTTGCAATTCATTTTGTATATCAATTTGTTATATTTGTCCAAGAGGGAAAGTATCTATATAAATTTTGTTTAATACTAAAGTTCATGATCTTTAGGCAGATATTATTTTGACGATTTAGACTCCTTTTTGAGCCTGGAAATGAGTTCTGGCATAGTGAATAAATCCTAATTGGATAGTATTCATTAAGTTCAGTCATCTGCCCAAGGCTGCTTACTGATTAAAATACAGTCTCCAGCCCTGCTTGAGTAGTACAATCAGACTTGGTCCAAGGTGAACCTCATCAATTTGAATGGCAGTTACACAACTTGGACCTTCACATAGCTTCCAGATCTCCATTTGTTTTTCTCCCCTGTTCTTTGACTGAAACCTAAAAAGGAAAAACGACATTTATAAGTCATAGTAAGTCACACCATGTGTATCATAACCCCTTTCCTTCTTGGCTGGATGAAATAAATTCATGTCCCTTGCCTTGGTGTGTAGAGGAATGCATCTGTTATTCCTTTTTTGATCCCACTGCAAGGTCTGGGCTCTCACTCACTACACTATTCCCTGGAGGTAGTGCCAGTCAGAGAAGACATTTTTCTTCCTGAAAAATAGCCAGCAGTGCATTGTGAATGCACATGTTGTTCCCCTCGGATCTCCTCTCCAAGAGAGTTTGCTGCTCATTTAATACAATGCTTAACCTGACTGTAGCTTCCTGTGCTTAGGAGTCCAGTTTCCTTACACTCTAAGTGGGATTAATTTTTGTAACTCAATTTACCAGGTCCAGAAGGCAAGCTACAATTGCTGTGAAAATGGTAACCATGTTTCCTGGCTTTTGTACATTGAATACATCAGCAATGATGCGGTAGTGACATAAATATTTCTTCCTATTCCTATTTTCACTTTCTTTTCCCTTTTTGGATAGATTATTGTTGAGGAATGTCATTTTAATTTCACGGGCTGGTTCATCTGATTGGTATATATTCACTGAGGGAGTTATTTTCATGGTAATTACATGTCCAAAGAAGGCATGTGTCTAAACCTTACTTCCCACCTTTGCTGAAAGATTTGATGGACTTTTCAAACGTGATGAGACCCATATAGAAAGTTAGAGAGAAAATGTTCATCTTCATACTATTTTCATAGTATGAAGTTAGCTTCCTATACTATGGTGAGTGAATTGCAGATTTAAAATGTTGTGTTTATTCATTTCTTCCTAAAACTGAAAAGCCTTTAAGCTTGGATGTCTATATAGCCACAGAGTATGATTGGCAGAGAAATACTTGCATTGCATTTCTAGGCCCATGTAATCTTTAGCCTAGCATTTGCATATTAATAGATAATTGTAAAACATTATGTAAATTAAACATGGTGGTGAATATATTACCAAATCAAATGGCCTTTAGGGGTAATTACAGGATGGTGCTATGTCAACTAGGACTCTGCGGGTTAGACGCTAAACACTTTTCATAAGATGAAACACAACCCCGGCAGAGTATTTATTTCCATCTACAGTCATGGGTTTTTCCTTGAGTGTGACTATTTTTGTTAGATTAAGCACATTTGGGGTTAAGTCACAGAACTGCAGGAACTAAGATAATATTCTGAATAAAAGGTAAAACATACTAATGTTTTTGGGTGGTGATTAATCCAACTATTTGACTCTCAGAGACATTCCTACAAATATTAATGTCTTACTATGTCCACTTGAATATAATATATATTTTTCTTTATTTGAAAATAATCCCACTACCATTATTTATCATTGCTGCAGCAGACAGTACAAATTCCTTAAGTACACGGCCATAGTCCATTTTTGCTACTATAGCATAATTCCTTAGGCTGAGTAATTTACAAAGAACAGAGAACAGAGGTCTGTTTGGCTTATTGTTTTGAAGGTTTAAAAAAGAAGAGCATGCCATTGGCATCTGGCCAACAACTTTGTACTTCCTATCTCATGATAGAAGGGAATTAAAAAGCAAGAGGGGAAGAGGAGAGAGAGAGAGAGAGAGAGAGAGAGAGAGAGAGAGAGAGAGAGAGAGAGAGAGAGCGCTCAGGGGCTCTCGTCCTTTTATATGACTCATTCCTGCAGTAGCTAACTTCTCAGGGTAACTTAGAGGTGATGTCCTCATCACTTTTCACCTTTCAGAGTTCCCAACCTATTGCAAAAGGAATTAAGTTCTCAACATAATGAATTGGGGGGGGGGATGCATTAAAACTACAGTGTACCCTATTGCTGAATAACTACGAACTTCATTCTTTTCCAACTGCTTGCCTGCAGTCTATGAATACCACCTGCTAATTCATCATCTTGTTTTGCAGGAGTCTACCTCTCTATTTGTGCTATATACAGGGTCAGAAATGTGAGGAAGAGTAGGGAGGAAATTGGTCACTTTCTTAATCCTTTAGTGTAAAAAAATCTCTGTAGTACATTTCTCCCCATAAAATAGTTATGTGAAGTGTGCCTTTACCCAGTGCTTTGGAAGGAGGCTGCCTGCATTCAAATACTGCCTGTTGTTAAACAGGAGGCGGCCAGCCAGTTGATCTTCGGCGGCGCTACTTCCATCTGCTCTTTTCTCGTCCCTTATACCTCAGCAAACTACTCCTTCCCCTGCCGCTTGATTCCTGTACAATGCCTGCCCTCCTCCCTCCTCTGTTCATCGTAGCACTTCTGGTTTACCAAGTACCTGGTGTTCCTCGATGACAGCTGAACATAGCAGATTTTATGCTAAAACAAACCTGGTGTTATGGCAAGTATCTCCTATTGCAAAGCCACAGTATAAATATTGATCAAGTTTAGGAAAGAAAAAGAATACTCGTTGGCAAAAACAATTATGTACTTTGAAATCTGAATCTCAGGCTGGGGAGCCCTTTAGTCAGAATCTTTTTCTTGGCCCATCGTCACACAGGGTTACAGTCAGGGGATCTGGGGCCATGGTCTACATGCTTGAAAAAAAATATGGCTTGCTTTAATTACACAATAAATAAAATGGAAACAATGACACACTTTCAGCAAAAACTCAGACTTGACTGAGAATTTTACGCTCTGGCTCACCTGTTCTAGAATTCTGTAGACCTTCTGAGCAAAATGGAGAGAAGTGCTCATTAGAAGAGAATTCTGTTGCATTCTCAGCAGCAGATCTCCTCTTTGACTCTTTGCTGGTCCTGTAACATCTGATGAGTTACTTAATTTAAGCTCTCCACTGGCCGTATTAACATGGATAAAGATTATTAAATCAGGGATGTGTCATGAAGGTCAAAAGCAATCAGGTTGGAAAGTGCCTAACAGAGGGTGGAGTCCATAGTAGGTGCTCAGCACAAGCCTTTCTCTAGGGCCTGTTCCTTCCTGCGATGCTGGCATAGACATTTCAAACACTGATGACTGTCATAACTAAAATACCCAAAGGTCTGTACCTGCCCTTAGGCAAGTCATTTATTTATCATTCTTTCCCCTTTCTCCCTTCCTAGCTCAGATGTGTAATTTGAAGCCAGTGGGAACTAATGAGAAAATGAAAGGCGTTGTTACCATTATTGCTCTGGTGCCACGAGATCTCTGGTGGGGACATTTGAGGGAGGAAAAGGATAATAAAGGAAAAAAGGCGCCTGCCTAGATTTAAGCTGTGCTGTCTAGGGCCTCCTGCACATGACTTCAAAGCTGAATTTCTTTAAGTAGGAGTTAAAGGCTTAATCTCCTTGCCATTAGAAATAATTCCTAATGATTAACATAATAGCAAATCATTTCTGGGCTCTGTGAGATACTATTAATGGTGTTCCCCCACTGAAAATACAGTGAAACACAGAAATGGCTTCTGCCACACAATGAAAGAGGAAAATACAACAGCTAATTAATAGACCATGAAATAGTTTCTACCACTATACACCACAAGTTTGACACACATATTATTAGTTCCCCACAAGAAGTTGTCTGCTCTTTATGGTATTTTATATTAAAAATCGATTCATAGCCCACCTCTTGCACTCTTGCTTTGCAGTCCTTTTAGCCCACAGTCTTGATGGGTGTTGTTGCAGACAATTGTGACTTCCTGACACTCACCATCTGGGGTTTTCCCCAGAGACCCATGGCACCAGAGCAATATAGTAGTGTCGGTGCTTTTCATATTATCAGCTGCTCCTTCTGGCTCCAAATTACACATTTGAGCAAAGTAATGGATAAAGAGGAAGGGATGATGAATATATGGCTTGCCCAAGGACAGATGTCACTGTTAGAGGTGCCTGTGGTACCATCCCAAGAGGATGGGAACAAGAAAACACACATTCAGAGATGGACAGGCACTGGGCATCTACTATGGGTAAAGGTTGGATTGGAATTGTCCACCGTAAGTTCATTGAGAGAATTCATCAATATAGAGGATGAAGAAGAGGTGTCATTTCAGGTCCAGTGGGTCTGGAAAGGCTCCAACATCCAGATCTAACTTGTGTATCACCTCCAAAGGCCTTCATGGAAATCCTGAGCCCAGTGGAGGGCTTCTTGACATTAATACTATGGCAGGTAGGGCATCAGCCTTTTCCCACAGTCCTTGGTTTTTTTATAGATCATAGATGTCCTCCATGAAAGTGAGGAAGCAAGAATGAGTTAAAAGAAGTCCTTGTGGGGTATGCATGAAATTAAACTGTTACCACTGAACTTCCTGAAATAATACTCACACCTAGACATAGTCCTTATGCTGGACTACCCTAGATTAATTAAAATTTGGGGGGGGGGGAGTCTGTATTTTGCTAATAGTAGGTGAGCCCTTCTCAAAGTTTTAGTGGTGTTTACCATCATGATGCCCGCAAAATTATATCCTACCAGTTCTCAGTGGGTCTGAGGAAAGGTTGGCAGAGCTCCTTCTATCACTCACATTCTTCTCTACTGCCTTCTTGCTGAGTATAACCCCTCATGCTATAGACAGCAGAGCTGTGCCCTGTGGACAGGAGGGGAGGGAGTAGTGCTCTTAAATGAACTGTAAAATCTGCAATGAAAATGTAGTAAGCCAGCTAAAATTTTCCCGCAATTTAAAGAAAAATTGTATCTTTGATGCTTTGACTTGAGTGGTACCTACTGGAGTAGACAATTTATGTAGAAGTAGGCCTGCGAAGTGAGAAAAAGTAAGGAGTAATTGACTGTAGTGCTAAGGTGGTCTGCAGAACTCCAGGTCCTGCTGGCCTGGGACAGAATTCTCAGATCGTCAGTGGCATATGACAAATGGATAGTATTTGTGTGTTCATTTATGTACACCCACAGGTGTATGCATGTACATGCTTAATTCATTTTTCATTTCTTTGTGTATTGTTTCTGGAACTGCGCTCTGCTGTCTTCCTAGACTTACTCTTCCTACGGTTATGGTAGGCAAATTTTTACTTGATGTTGTTAGACACAGTAAGAGTTGGTAGTCTTAGCAGCCAAATTTAAAAGAATTTTCTAATCCTAGAACTCAGGTAGAGGTCATTTCTTAACAGAATCCTCCTCCACCAATTTCCTTCTGTCAGCTCCTAGGTGAAGCTTAGAAACATGAAGAGAAACACTCTCACTGCTGGATCAAGGGGCAAGTTCATAGTGAGTGCGTGTGCATCTTTGCACATGTGTGAGGTTCAAAGATTGAGACAAGAGGCAAGTTTATAATGGGTGCATGTACAGGTGTGCACATGTGTGGGCTTCAGAAACTGACACGAGAGGTGAGCTTATGGTGGGTGTGAGTACACCTGTGCACATGCATGAGTTTCAGAGGCTGATATAAGAAGCGAGCTTATGGTGGGTATGTATGTAGCTGTGCACATGCGTGAGATTCAGAGGCCCACATAAGCTTTTCCCCTATTTAAATGTTGATTTTGCAGGTCTGACAAGTTATGGCTGAGCTGAGTACAGTTTTAACATTTTGCAGACATCTAAAAGATGGAATGATGGATGAGAGAACTTGATTTAGAGCTCCAAATGGTTTTGCCATCAACTATCTGCCAGTGGTGAGAGTGGCAGCACATCTCTCCTGCACACAGCACATCTCTCCTGCACACAGAGAGTGTCCCCTATGTGATTATGGGCAGACAGTCTTTTAATACTTCCTTTTTTTTAGTCCTGTAAAGTTAGGTCTTGGCATAAGAGGCTGTTAAAAATTATTTATTTTTAAATCATGACAGCTAGCATGATATAAGTTACTTTAACTTGTTATGAGTCCAAATGCAAAACCTATCAAAGAAAGTATAAAAAGAGTAAGATATTGTATTAAAACTACTGGTAATATAATTTTCCTTAAAATGGTTATAATTAATATCTGTCTTATTACATGTTTGTTTAATTCCACTTACCAGTCATTAAGTATTATTATTTTCCTCTTCTCTGCATTAGGCACATAATACTAAAAGCAAGGATTAAATATGTTCTGGTACTTACCGTGTCTTAGAAATTATGCTAAGAAATATTGCATTTATTATCTCATTTAATTCTTAATTTGTCATGTGAAACAGGTTGCTACCACTGGCATCTGAAATGTCCCCTAGGGGCTTACATGTTAGACTTGCTGCCAGCCTGTGGTGCTTTGGGAGATGGTAGAACTTATAAGGGGTGGGACCTAGTGGGAGGAAGTTAGGCCATTGGAAGTGTGCTTTTTGGGAGTGGCATATTAGGATCAAGTCCCCTTTCTCTCTATTTCCTATATCATATCCTTCCTAAAAAAAAAACAAACAAACAGACAGATTAAAGAAATTCAGTTTGTTTTTATTTGCTTGTTTTTGTTTTTGCATTGCTGAGTGTTGAACCTAGGACATTATACATGCCAGACAAGAACTCTACTACTGAGCTATATCCCAAGCTCCCTGTCTAGTTTTCTAACAGGCATGGTCATTCAGTTCTGATGGCCTGTCTTTTGGTTTACAGTGTTCAGAGGAGCTGGGTTTGTTCTGGCTACAATAAGAATTCTGAAAGATGATGTGACCAGAATTATTTATCTCATTGTGAACTGATGCATGAAAAGATGACCTGGCTGCATGCCCCTGTCAAGAAATTCACTTAGAAGAAATGGTGACTGTACTGGCTTTTTAATTGCTCTATATCTTCCCTCCTGGGTACACAGGTCTTGTAAAGAATTGGCTAGAAATCTATAGTCAATAAAAAAAAAACTTAGGCTTATAAATCATTTTTACTTTAATGTAAAACCTCTCCACAAGTTTTACTAGAACCAAAATCTTCTTAAAATATCAAAGAAGCCAGAATACAGTAAATTGAATTTTTTCTGCGTAGAATTATGCTTTATCTTTTTATCCCCCCCCCCACCAAGCACCAATGTTTACCAAATACTTTATGGTTAATTGGTTCCTGGTTAATGCTAAGCTCAGTATTAAATTGCAGTGGATTACAGGTACTGAAACTTGACCATGAGGGGTGCCTTTTCATTTGAGGCTTGAGTGGAATACCTACTTTAGAAAGATTGAGGTAGCCCACTGTCTGAGTCCACTCATAACTAGGCTGTATCATTCATAAAAACTATGAGGGCTTGAATCACTCACTAGGGTCCAAGCCTACTTGTGGTACCATGGTCATGTATATAAGATAATGCAGATTAGTGACGTATGAATTCTCAAGCAGTCCCTTGTCTTATCTTATCTTAATTTATTCATGTTATCTTATCTTATTTTAGGAGATTGAGCTAATGAGAGATTCCACCGGCTGGAGGGCTGGGACTAATACCTATTGATATCAGCTTACCAGCTGGTTGGGCAAATGGATAGCTTGAGACCACATTTCATTGATTCCTGGGAGAATATCGGAGGGTGAGCTACATGGGGAGCAGGGTTCTGGATTGCTAATGCTTTGACTGTAGTTTCATATACATATCTGAAATTCTGGCATCTGTCATTATAGGCATCCTAGAAGCACCCCCTCCCTGTTTTGGCTTCTGCTATAGTATCATATTAAAACAGGAAGCAATTGAGGCTGCAAGAGGGAACCTGTCCATACTCACAAAGCTTGAGGAGATTAAATTCATG